AAAAAAAAAAAAAAAAAGGATTGTGCATGCCACCTAAAGAAACTAAATTAAAATTGGTGGCCAAACTGGTAGCTACACTTAGAGCACTGATAAGAATTTTACAACAAATTTTCATTCATTAGTCAGCTAGACTGCATTTTTTGTTCAGCTTGGGGCACGATGGTGGGTAAAACAAAATATGCGGCCTAGCTAATTAGTGAATGAATATTTGCTGTAAAATTCTTATCAGTGTTATAAATGTAGCTGCCAGTTTTGATTTCATTCCTTTAAGTCTCACGACTTGATCCTTTTTTTTTACCCCACCTCAAGTGTTTTTGATCAGATGTCATGACTTCTTGTCAGTACATACTATCAAACCACAACAACTAAGAAAGTGACATTCGATAGTAACCAACATTAATTAGCTTTTCTTCTCATCACCCGCATGCACTCGGTTAAGCCGTATTAAGCATCATTATTTACGCTAATCGATTAAGCTAATATCAAGTGACGCTAAACGCTCTTTAATTAGGAGAATTTCATAAAATTTAGCCAATTTGTGCTTAAAAGTTGGTAATGAATAATAACCGTCCACCCTTATGATTCTTTTGAAAACTTGAGCTATAAACTGATAATTTAGTTTGCTAGGCCTAACCAATACTTATGTATCTACACGTGCTTTCACCCTATAGTTGTGTGCTGTAAGTCAGCCGTCTTTGATCCAAATGACAAAAACTCCCCACTTTTACTCTTAGGTGAAGCTGTAGTAAAAATTTCAGACCGATAGCTCACTTGACTTTTTGCGTAGTCATATGCAAACATTCTGATCAAATTAGAGCAGTTTTTGTTAAATAACTTAGCACATGTGGCTTTTATTTGAACGAAATTTAACACCTAATTGTATGTTATAAAGGTCTATCAGTGTACCAAACTTGAAGAAAAAAAAATCCTTAAAAGTTAAGTATGTTTTTCTATCCGTACTTTGGGTGCGAAGAAGGAAAACAAAATCAATAAAACTTGGAGTTTATATATATCGCGTATTTCATAATGGATTGCCTTGAAATTTGGTGTGTGAAATAAGGGTCTAGTAGAGCATGTCCACTGAAAATATGTGATAATTTGGATTAACACAGTTCGAGCTACAGAAAGTGGAAAATCGCTAAACTATCACTCCTGTTAATAACACACAGTGTGTTCTGCAGGTTGTTTAGGCCGCACGACACACTACCATGTGTCTTGATATACAAGATATTTTTTATGGACATACAGTGAATTAAGGTTTAAGTAAGACACTTAGAATAGATTATGACAAGAGTAGGTGTCCAACCATATACAGTGTAGTTGGTATGTTGGTGAATAAGCTCTCAGTACTAGTTATTGGAGTCTCGAGCCAGAGAGAGGGGCGCCGCCATATATGTGCTCTCGTGGTGCAGTTATATCCAGGGCTTTATTCAACCCCGGCAACAGATTAAAAATAACCGTCGGATTACTTTCTACAAGCCGAATTATCCGAGAAGTTTATATGTGGATAGCTCACTTATCGATTTATTTTCGAATTTTTCTGTCTATCCCAAAATATTGATTTTTATTTGCTAAGACACGAACTTCTTTGAAAATAGCCGTGTCACGTTTTTAACAAGGTTCGATTACTACAATTAGCACTACTTGTAACATTCTGGTTGTATCTGTAGTCTGGTTTTTACAATTAATGAGGTAAAATGTAATAGGTACAATTATCAATAAATACGATCTATAGTTGTTTTCCTAATTGAAAGCTATAGTATTACTTGTGACAATAAGGGATAGAGGCGGACCTGGGATCCAGCTTCGCAAGACAAACGTCACCCGAGACCCTTGGTAAAATACTTAAAATAGTCAATGGCAAGAGTAGACCTATTCAAGACATTATATGTGCGTGAGCTGTTTCAGAATATTTACGACAGCGGAAGTCACGTGACGCTGATAACACGTAATGAGTATCTCGAACGAACGTTCTTGGAGGCTCGAGTGTTTACTAGACGCCCTCTATTTTGTATATATATAAGACCGTCGAGAAGTGGCGGCATAGATAATTGCAGACAGGCAGATATAGAGACGGACAATTGAGTCAAGCGCGGTAGTGACCCAAAATAAAGTGCGTGAATCATTCGTTGTGAATTATAGTGTGTGTTGAAGTTAAAGTGACTGTAGAAATTAAGTGTATTGTAAAGTTGAATTGAGAAAGAATAAACGAGTTTTATTTCATAAAAGACTTGTATCGCCAAAGTTTCATCCAAATAAATTATACGGGAAATTAACAAACGAACACAGACTTAATAAATTGGTGTCAGAAGTGGGATAGAAAAAAGGAGATGGAAACTGCAGCTTAGCAGATTTGATGGCAGCAATACAAGAACAGCAAAATAAACAAGAGAGATTACAGCAGTTGTTGGAGGAAAAAGAAATCAAACAAGAAGAGAGACAACAGCAGTGGCAGCTCGAACAGGAAAATAAACAAGAAAGACTACTGTAGTGGTTGGAGGAGAAAGAAAATAAACAAGATAAGACATTACAGCAGTGGCAACTGGAACAAGAAAGGAACCAGGAAGAAAGTCTCCAACAATTGAGAGAAAGCCAGAATACACAAATGGAAAACATTAGTAAATTTCAAAGCGAATTAAATATATTAAAGGATGATTTATTGTCTTTTACACAAGGAGGATACATTAACCATCGACATAATCAGCCATAGACAACAGGAAGCTCCTTCCAGACTCTGCAGTTAACCCTAATGCAGACATCTTCAGTCCTGTTAGAAGTCACATCCCA